GATGAATGCATTCAGTCGGGCATACCTAAGGTATTATATTAATTTCTTCAGTCTTGTGTATTTATTTGTTTTGGAATTTTTACAATCTTCTATATAACCTCATGCCTTTTCACTTAATAAACTTTTAATTGTTTAATCAGTCTTTTGAAGTATATATGGGATGAAGAATTCTTTATTATAAATTATATTATTTTCTTTTTTTTTAATATTTAATAAAGCCATTGAATCTAAATTTCCTACTCTATACATATAATTATTCTATTGTTATTTTTATTTATAGGCGAGACAAATAACTCCTCTTCCAAATGATATTCTGTTTGTTAAAAAATCTGAAACACTTTCGCATAAGTTTAACATATGTGGCACACCGTCGTCTTCACCTGTTGAAACAAATCATGGAAATAAAAATTCCATGTTGAGTCCTAAATCGTCGGGTAGCGCATCATTGAGACATCCAGATGAATTTTCAGATGATAGCGTGAATCATTCAGATGACGATGCAATTTTGACGGAATGTATACAATCTGCAATGCCAAAGGTTGTTACTTTAAAACTGAAAACTTTGTATCCATTTAAGCCGGATGTTCTATATACAGCAATAAGTTGTTGATTATATTATTTATTATTTATTGGATGATTTACATTTTAGGCAAGATTCAGTTTATCATCGTCAATTAGATCGCCGTTAGCACAAACTACAGAAAATCTTACAACAACGAACATACAGTCGTCCCCCACTTCATCAACATTTTTTCAACCAAGATGTATGGAGCAAAAAAAAAGTATGGTGAAAAAGCTTTTGTCCTTCGAAGATAATGGACTTTCTGAAGAAGAAGAAGAAGAAGAAGATATCATGTTAGCACAATGCATTAGATCTGGTATGCCAAAAGTAAGTTGTATTTATGTATAAATAAAATATGCTCCTTAACAGATGCTAAAGAATGAACACATTAAAAACTACACCAATAAGGGATATTTCTGCTTTATACTAATATTTTATATAATATTTCGATAAATATTCTAATATTTGATACATGCGATATAAATTAATTTTCAGGCATTAAATTCTATGCCATCTACGACAATGACATCCACAACTAAAAAATCTGGATCATCTTTGAAAGGCGCAGACAATTTTTCCATCCCTTCAGTTTCATATTTTGCGAATAAATCTCATTCTCCCAAGAATGCTGCACTGTATTCACCGTCGTACAAATCTGCGAACAACACAACGGATATGCGTTTTACGAGAAACGTATCCGGCAATTTTAATTACTTTCCCGGGAAAGTAACAAGCAGTAATATAGCACAAACCTCCGGTCAGACATTAAAAAATTGTGATAACGGTACGCGCGAAAGGATAAACAATTCGCCGCATTGTGCTCGAAGATCACCGCTTCGTCATACAGAGAGTCAAAATGGTAATTTCGTCGATAATTTGTGTAGGCCCTTGCAATCTCGCGACGTGAAATGCATGCCGATTTATAATAGGATTCAAAACAACGATGATTATACATATAAAAATCACAACACAGTGAAATCTAACACGATGCCTTCGCGACACAGTTCAGTGAGTTCTCTTAGTGAAGAAGGTTCGTTGATTTCTACGGAAGAATTGGCCCTACTAGAATTGTGCATTACTTCTGGTATGCCTAGAAACAAGTGTGTTAAGAGAACTAAATCTAATGAGAATGCAGTCTCCAATGGCCACGAGGACTGCGAGTCGATACCAGAGGACAATTATTCGGTGTGCAGTTATAATTCTTATATTTGTAAGACATAACATACAGGTATCGCATTTATCAGAGTTTTTCTTTCTTTCTCTTTCTGGCAATTTGTACATACAATATTTAAAAAAAGACTGAATATTTTTATATATCAATTAATAAATAAAGGATTATTGTATTTAATAGCGAAATCGATTAGCAGACTCATTGCATGTTAAAGCCATCGTAAATTGATGTACAAATGTGTTTATTATAAATATGGAAATCAGTTAAACTATAAAATAATACGCTTTATTATGCTATTATTAGATGAAGTATGTATTTTATAATTCAAAATATTTTTATTTCACTTTTACTCACTGATAATCAGAGTACAATGGATTTAATATGTACCAATGCTCACTAGTACGCCCGATCGAATTCGCTATAAGATATTTATAATAATTAAAAATCCCATTATGAATTGAACTGATAAACCTGAAAAATCGTCTTACATAACTCTGATTAGAATTTTGTAAATTATTTAAAATATCAAGATATCTGTATTCTGTTCTTACAATTTTTATATTTTAAGTTACTGATTATTTGACAATTAGACAAAATTAACTGAATCAATTGCATTTTAGAATTGCAATCAATAGGTCATTAATAATTTATTTAATTTTGATCATAATATGCAAAGAATGATGATTTTTGTATTTTAAATGTTATCGACAAATTAATTTATAATAAATTTTTTAACTAGATTTTTAAAACTTGATCTTTTAAATAATCAATATACAGGGTGAGGCATTTTAATCGCCTCAGGTGAATATCTCAGAAACTAAGAGAGATACAAGAAAAAGTTTTATATGGATATAAGTTATAGGTTTTTTAGGGAAAAGAAGGTGAAAATAACGGATTTTGGATAGGGGGGGCACTACCAAGGTCAGATCAAGCTCAACATGAATTTTTTAAATGGAAACCTCCATCTTTCATTAGATATTCTTATAGCTTATCTCAAGAGTTTTTCAAAACACTATAATTAAGTTCATTTTCATAAAATACTTTTCGAGTTATAAGGCTTGCAAGTTACAGCATTAGCATTACCTAAGGTATCTGACCGACAGTTAAACCTCTTTAATGTTGTTCAGGATCATCTAGTTCACCTAGTTAACATTTATCAAGGCCATTGCAGATTGTACCTCTTATTTTCATTTTTACATAGAAATGAATTTTTAGTGGAAAGAGTTCTGTGACATCTTGTTAGAGCTCAAAATTATGTATATAATATTTTCGTTAAAAATGATAAAAATTTAAAAAAAAAAGAGTTTTAAAGCTTGAAATCTACTTTCGAATGGTTATTATATATTTTTGAATTTATGTAAAAAAGGGAAATTTTTCTTCTCATTTTGTGGGTCTGTCACATGTAAAAAAAAATTTGTGAAAATTTTTGATTATCTATATCACAAAAGTTTTTTCCTTATAAAATGGTTTTTTTTTTAATGTTTCTACGATTTTTTGTTTTTGAGTTATTCGCGAATTAAGGAGGTTGTAAGAGCATAAAACACGTATATTAATATTAAAAAAACTTAAAGTTTTCAGATAGTCGAAAATTTGGCAACAAATATATTCTGTATATAATTTTAAGCTAACAAAATACAGCAGAATTTTTTCTCCAATCCAATATTTGAAAATGTTGCTTGTAAATTATTTTCAAGTATAATATATTGCAAAATATTGAGGTTCCATTATTTTTCTATGTGATTTCAAATATAATTTTAAAGATTTCATGATGTAAGTCAATCCCATCAATATTTGATTCATTTCATTTTTCATTCAAAAGTTTTAATTATAAATTTTTACAATATGTTAAGAAAACATTAATGATTCGATTGAGTGCGTCCTTTTCTCCCACTCCTCAAATTTCTGACAATGCGCAGTCTAGTGATACTATGTCTATGTTTGGTACATATTAATGCTATATTGAATTTGGCTACATATCTCTGGCTTTCTATCTGCGTGTTATACACGCATTGCACGCTCGCTAGGCACAGCCCTATTAAAGATCTCATGATATTTTTATAAATTACTCAAATATAGGATTATTCAAAAGTACAAAGTTCTTTTTAGATATATCTTTGCATTCATTTATGTGAAGAAAGAATCTACGGTAACCGAAAACTATAGTTTACAATTTTCGGGGGATTTTCATACGAGTTTGTACTTTTCCAAAGGTATTTACATTTTTTTCTTTTATTTTGGAAAAGGATTTTTTTATTCTATATATTGCAAAATATTGAGGAAAACGAAATGGTTTGAAAAATACGAAATGATGTTCCATCGATAACTTCAACATCCCTTTAAAGATTCACTTTCGTGCTTGGCTGCCAATTTCCCTGAGCCACGCAATAGTTTGAATAAGATATTTTTTCCTATCTTTCTATGTCCGTATTTAATGTCTGCTATTTTGTAATATATTTTGTGTAATTCAAATTTAATTTACACGATTATTACAAGGAATATTCAAGCTTTAATTTGAGATATAATTCATTTCGATATGATTTATCGCTATTTAAAGATATTAAAAAATATTTGCTAAAATTTAGTGGCCCACTTTTTTGCGTGTGATTGCATATATATGTTCATAAATTCCAAATATGTAATATTAATAAATTAGTATTGCACGCACATACAGTTGCGAAAAAATATACAATTAACCTGATTGCTTTTGGATCGATCTAATATAAATTTATGCGTCATCGCGCGTACGGTATTATTTGAAGTATCATATAATAATTAATAGAGCAAAAACATTTTATATTCTCAATACTTTGAATGGTTTTTTTCAACTTCTTAATTTTATGTATTATAGAATTTCGTATGTATTTTTCCAATGTAGAAACATGCACAGCGTTTCTCATATTGATCTTGGAAATTATGATCTTAGAAATTCTCTTTTTTCATATAAAATATTAATTTTTTTTTAAATGACTTAATTGTCACAGATTTCTCTAAAAAAAAGAAGGTTTCTCTTCCTTTTAGTATATTTTCACATATGGATATTTATCATATTGAAATACTTTTTCTGCGGCGGAAATCGGTGGATTCTATCCATTATATTGGGGAAAAAAATAGTAATATCCGGATCATACGGGCAGTAAGTACTAACATAGTTTTTGCCAGTGATTGCGGAGAGCGGTCGGTCGAGCGTAAAGTCCGGCCGCCTTTTGACCGCTACCTTGATGCCCTTCGATGACTCGTAATGACTACCTGCACGGCATCATAGTCTATTTTCTGCACGTATAAATGTACGCAATGCACTGCCCGCACGACCGTCTTCCACAGTATACCACGACGTGTCTGTTCGTGAAGTGGTTTCCGGAGGAGTGCAGATTTTTCCAGGTAAAGCTCTTTAAGGATATTTATGTGAATTTGAATCAAGCTCTGCCTTTTCCGGATTCTGTTTTTAAAATTTTTTGATCGACTTCAGCTTTCAATTGATTTATTTGAGTATACATCGAAGATGACACACACTTTTAACAGAAAAATCGCTAAAACATTATTATTAATATTTTAGCATTTTTATAATATTAATCAGTAAAAGATGAGAAACTTGATAATAATTAGACAGGATTAATTAATAATAATGCTAATAGTAAAAATAACTATATAGAAAAAAAAGTTAAAATTACGTTTGTGCTTATTCAAAAATACTATTTTTCTAATATATATTGTAAATTAAATGCTGTGAAAATATTATGTATTTGATCAGAAGACTGTTAATATCTCTTCTCGAAAAAAAAGTTTTGATATTCTTTCCATCACTTTCGAATTTATAACTATGAAATACATATCTTTGTTGTTGTAATATTGTTTTGTTGTTTTATTTAATAATTTACACACGTAAGTCAAAAAAATCGAAGAAAAAAATAAGTAAAATATACAAAGATACACTGACATAGAAATTGTTTTATGGATGAGAAAAAAATAAGGCAGAAAAACTGAAATACGTGCAGAGAATATTATCAAAAATCTTTTGATGAATAATATTTATTCTACAATGGCTGCTATTAATTTTAACATTAAATATTAAACAAGGACAGATGATGCATCGGAGGCATCCAAGCGACATTTCCGAACGCAGCCAATATTTTTTTTAATTTCATTAGTCTTCAAGTTGTGATAATATTATTCATTTAATATTCATTTATAAATAATTTTTCTTTTCAAAAAAACAAAAGAAATAAAGTAAATAAAAGAATCTTGAACTTTTTAATTAAATTTAAATTTGACAAAAGTACTTCCTTATGGCAACATTCCAATTTTAAAAAATAATACTTGTTTTTCTTATGACTTTCCTCTCAGATTATTCTTTCTAAATTTTGTAAATTTCGTAAAAGAAAATTTACAAGTATTAATATAACATTTGTATATATAGTATCGCGAAATTTCTTTAAACTACATATTTCTTTAATAGTTGTTACATTTTTGTTAAAAAAAATTGTTGCAAAATTGTCCACGGAATTTGCTTGCAGCTTAACAAAAGTGTACAGTTTAGATTAGGCGAATAAAATTGATTTTCAGGAAAGACATCATATAAAAAAAAAAGAGAAAACGCGAACAAATTGCGTCACTAACCCATATTGATATTATTGGTCCTGAGAGACTCATATGCGTCTAAATACAGATGCACCCTCGTGCTTTCCACGTCCTCGCCTTCATGCTGACTGCAGTCGTAAGGGCCGGCTGTGACGATAAAACAAAATGGTACTCTGAGTTACGATCCATAATCAAGAATTGTCCATCAGTGACGCAAAACAGCTCCGATCAGGATGAATTATTGGACATTTTTAGAAGATGCGTGCAGCAGAGAGCCATTGACACTTTGGATACTCTCCTCGACGATGATGTTATTACGATATTCAACGGAGTCGATCTGATACGACTTCATTCAAACGATGAAAACAATACAGAATATAAGTGAGTTGATTATTATAATCTATATCTAATTATCCGTAAATTAAAGAGAAGAAGAGAGAAAAAGAGAGAACAAGTTAGGCACAGTAGGGAAGTAGATCAGAAATAGAATTCTGTCCGATAAAAGCTCAAGGCTAAAGGTATGCGAATCAGGGAGATATTGTTAAAGGAATTTTATCGAAGTTTGCTGTATAGTAGATTAATATGCATTGAAGCGTGCTGCAGATAAGATTGTAATATTATATCAGAATTCGTTGAATTTCGGAAGAATGCGTTATCGCGTGTTCAAAGCGTGTATCAAAGTTCAACCTTACATTCAACTCTTTCAATTACTTTTCATAATATTGGAAATATATCAGAAGAGAGAAAAATGTTTATTACGTATCTCTGACATGCTTTTGCTTGGTAAAACTGCATATTATGACTACCTCACAGATTTCAATGATCTTGACACATATTGTCATGACACTGAGTGACCGTCAAGTTTTAGCCGTCGCTCGTCATTCATTAAAAAGTTATTAACACAAAAGAGACATTATTTTGAAAAATAATGTCTCTTTTCTACTATATAAAATTAATTTTCTGTTTTAAAATATATTTTACAACTTTCCACGCGAAGCGACTCCCATCTCATCTCTCCTCCTGCAGGGAGGTAAGGTGAGAGTCGCTTTGCGTGAAAAGTTGTAAAAATATATTTTAAAACAGAACATTCTTGTTTTACATAGTAGAAAAAAGACGTTATTTTTTAAACTTTTGTTAATAATTTTTTAACAAATAACGAGCGACGATTAAAATTCATTGGAGATGATTCAGAGTCATTATGTCAAGATTATTGAAATCGGTGAGGTCGTTAATATGCAGATTTATCCTTAAATGCTTTATTGAAATTACATAAGATACAATGAATATCATTAAGAAATACATTATAAAATTAATTATATATACATTATAAAATTAATTACGCATATAAGGGTTTGGAATAACAATGTGCCGAGTGACACACTAAAGGAAGTGCATAATTTTGCAGTTAATTGATAATGTCAATTGTGCGATTAAAAATTGATTTCTTTCGAAGATGCAGATTGTAGTGAATTTTGTAAAGAGGAATATTAAGTATTCACGAAGTTTATAATATTATTACGTTTAATTTAACATATCGTTGTTGCAAGCCCTTTAAATAAAATTATATTTGCGATTAAAATACGCGCAGCGATTTTCGACAGAGATGATTCTGCTGATGAGTTAGAAGAGGAGGATATCAGTTGGTCGGCAATCATCTGGAATCGAATGACACGCGTCCTGCGGACTCACGCTTTTAAAATTGACGTCGATCGTATATTTAATGCAGCTGCTAACAGTCCGATGTCCGCACAAAATCTGGATAATAATATCGTTCAGGGTGAGTCATATAACGTGCTTCATAACGCACACAAACCATGAAACTTAATGATAATTTAAAGTTAAATTTGCGTCCCATAGGTCGGAAACGCCGTTACCGTCGTAAGAATCACGTGTTTCCGCTGATGATGATGGGCCTGCTGTTGATAGGTACGATTCTAGTGCCGATGGGTTTTCAATTCCTTGCGGTGTTGGGTGGTAAAGCCCTGATACTCGCCAAAATGGCTCTTATATTATCCAGCATACAAGGTCTGAAAAAGATAGCTACTAGTGGCGTTAATTACGGATTATATCACGTCTCGGATGGTTGGCATGACAGAAGTCATCAGGTACTTCCCAACGAGGATCAAGAACATTATCCGTTATATATGCCTCCGCGTCCTTAGTTCTTTGCCAAGTGAAATTTTAAGTACAAGTCATTCGAGAAAGTTCCAACGCGACGCGCATTGTACTTTCGTCGATAAAATAGAGAGTAAAACAAGATAGCACAATCGGGAGTATTTCCTGAAATTGAATTATTCATGGTAGTGCTCTTGAATTTTATTAACAATCATACAACAAGAATTTACCTTCGAGACATTTTCTCCATTACCGCACATTTACATTTCGCTGCAAGCTATTTGATCATGCAAAGCATTCTACAATATTTGATGCTACGCTAATTATCATATAGCGTATAATAGAAAGGCGTGTCCGAGTGTCATCCGTTGACAAACTTGAAAAATAATTTTTTGTTTTTTTAATAAAATATTTTCCTCTTCCAAATTTTTTTAGAATATTAATTTCAAACTTAATTTTTACAGATTTAATAATATTATTTATTTAATAATATAATTTATGAATAGAAATTGCAATCACATTGCAAAGGATAGATATTTGAAAATGTTTATAATTTTATAGATTTTTAGGTCGCCGACACCCACATATTGATTTATCTATGGCAGTAGAATTGTAAATCGGCAATTGTATTACTGATAGATCCATAAATAGACTGTATTATATTTATGCAGTTTATTTTCATCTTCATGATCATCGTTTAATCGTAAACATGAGAATCCGTTTGCATTCTGTTTTATTCGGGCATGTGAATCTCGTCGAGGATATACAGTCTGTCATATGAAAACGTCGTTTTCATGTCTGATAAATATAAGAGAAAAAGATTATTATTTTGTAGGAATACACCCAAACGCGACTACATTACGAGTACCAGAGCGTATACATGTTTGAAAATAATAAAATTCTTTTTCGTATTTATATACACGGATGACACTCATTAGTTATAATATAAAGATAAAAATACAAATTACTTATATAATAATATTAACAACTGATATTGTTTCGATACAGATTGTCTTATAAAGTACTATAATACTAATATTTATGTAACTAAGTTACATGTATGTTGAAAATTAACATTTATGTTATACTCTACCGCAATTTAATGGCTTACAGCAGGTAACAATCGTGGCTGTCACGAACAGTTGCGATTATTCACAAATGTCGTCGAGATATGTCGCATTTTCGTGTTTAACTAATTCTATGGGAAAGCATGCTTATACAATGACCACCATTTACATCTAAATAGATACCGTCAAGCAAAGCGATTTTGACGTCTATAGATTAAACATGATTCTATCGTGTGTAAAAAAATCGGAATTGAGATATTGACCGATATTTGCTTTTGTATTTCTGTATTTTAATGCATAGAGGATAGATCCGTTAATAAATGAGCGATTATCAGTCAGTATCCTTGTATCAATACCTCTTTCTGTGATTGTATAAAATAATATAAATAATTACTATAAAATTTGATTTATTTCCGAATTATATATTTTACATAAATTTTATTGGATTGCATATTTATCTATCAAGTTAGTAGTATTGTGTATGTGTAGTTATATTTAAGATTGCATTTATACATTTTTATAATCCAGATTGTTATATCGGCAAATATTTGTGCGACACATTATTTTCACAATGCGTGATTATTTGCGGCTATAATATTGCGGGGTACTACTTATTTAAAGTATTAGTTTCGAATTTTTCCTTAGGTCCTCATCAATGAAATATTCATCACAGTCAATATTATAACGGTTTTCATCACGGACTCCGTTCGCATTCAATTACGCTTCTAGCTCAAGCGTAAAGAAAACATAATAATATGCCTTGTCTTAGTTTTCGTTACGAAAAGGAAATCATTTATAAAGCTTACGGACGTTGCCTTGAACAACGGGCGACGACTCTTCGCCGCCGTCATCGATCTCGATTATAGCTTGGAGATTAAAGTTGGACGAAATAACATCGTGTCGGGACGAAAGCTATACACACACACACACACACACACACACACACACACGTATAGTATATAATATATATAATATATATGTGTATAACATTGATAAAGTGCGCTAATCGAGCGATCGTCCACTGACAGGATGACGCGTGTCCTGTATTTCTGCCTCATGATTACGAACATCGTTATAAACATTAATATCAAAGAACATTTAAAATGTCAACCCGTTCTCTTCCTGGCATGGCGATACAATACATATCGACACAAAACGTTGCGATATAGTGATTTTCGCATCTACGAAAGGATCTGTCGATAATTCCTGTTCCCTTTGACATTCGCTTGTGATACGTGCAAAGCTTATATCAAGGTATGTATTGTATGAGCTTTCTATAATCAATGAATAACAAATATGAATTTGTTAAAATTTGAAAAAAAAGAGAAATAAGTTTGTGCTTTTGAATTGCTAATTCATTATATTTATTATTGTGTATTTATAAAATTTTTTATTTAATCTTCTGTCATTATATATATAAAAAATTGATCAAGGAATAAAAAATCTTCCCAAAACTGGGAAAACTAAAAAAGATAATCTTAGAAAAAATATTGAAACTCATGATCGTTGAAGTATCGATCGCTTAATGAATTTGTGGAGAGGGGGAATATTTCAAATCAAATTTTAAAAATACAAATATAAATGTTTTAACGAAAGAATATCAATTTTTTGACATTTTTACTTTTAATTCAAAAATGCTATAAATATACGAAAATAACAAAAAGGCTCGAATGGAATATTTTTGTTCTTTTAGATCGAACAAAGTGTAGATCGTGTTCCCGTCTCCAAATTCACCCTACAGTTATAGAGCTTCGTAGCGCGTAACAATAAGGCTTGGGGGTTGCGCGCAGTCAGAAGTGAGGAGGCTGTAGACTAGCTATAAGAGGGACGCCGTGCGTCGCGACGCCATCAGAACACCTGCCGCGCTCGACCCGAGCTTGGCGCAACCCCCACAATATCTTGCGCTGCCACTTCGATCTCTCCACAGCGATCGAAGGGCGAGGGAAACCGATCCAGTCGCGAGGGAGAAGCTCCAGTTCTTATTCGACTCGCTACGCGTTGTCACCTGTTTCTGTTTCTCCTCGATTTTGTCGTCAGTGAGAGATGTTCTCCAAATCAACTTCAACAATTCTCCTGGTCATCATCATCATCATCGGCGCGACGTTTCACGTCGCGAAAGCAGCAATCGATAACGATCGCCGTCAACAACAGGTAAACGCACCGCTAGAATATGTATATTTGCTTAAAAATTAAAATATGTATGAAATATAACTTGAAGAAACTTATTTTAAATATCCGAGTTTAAGAAATATTATAAGATATACAAAAAAATACATAATTTGAAGAAATATATATTTTTAACAATAAAATTAGAAAATATAAAATTAAAAGTAAACATATATAATTATCTTAATTATTACTATATTTCATTAATTTTTATTATCTTTAATATTTTATTTGGTTAATTCTTGAATTAACCATTAATGATGATAGAACTAAGAATAATAAACACAAAAATGATTGGAATAATTGTGATTATTAGAATTTTTTTAATGACAATAAACTGCGATCGTTTTCAAATTATCAAGAGGATAATTTTTATTTATATATATATATATATACGTTGCAAGTGTCACATTAAAATGTGATGTTAATAAAATATCTTAAAATGTTTACACTGAATGTGCACATAATTTTAGTTTGATTATTTTTCTGTTTTCATATTACTTTCTTCTTTCAAAAATAATTGATTTGAAGACATTCAAAATTTAAGACTCATCTAAGAATTTTAGCGTACATCAAACTTAATGAAAATAATATTACGGTTACAGAAAACCAAGCTATATGATAAAAATTATAGTAGGTTTCTTCTCCAATCAATTACCTCTTTTTAAAAAAAATTATAATTGCTTTATGATCCACTTAATTTAGCTAATTGATGTTTGCTGTATTTTTCTATTAGGATTAGATTAGACGGTCGATCAATATGACTCAAATGTTTAGTAAGAGTTTCGAAAATGAGTTCACGATTATAATTATGTGTATTTATACACTGTGCGCAATAAACTTTAATAAAATTAAAGAATTTAGTTATATAAAAAAATAATAATTGAAGGAATTATTTTATTGTACAGAAAATGAAGTTAAATTAAAAATATGATACTTTTAAATTAATAAATGGATCTTATTAGACACGAGGTTAAAAGTTAGAAAGAGAATTTCAAAAACTAGGAACTTTAAGAACTTTTTTTTTGTACTACAAATCATTTGCTAACTTATAATGAGTTTTGATTCTTCACTTACACGTAAGTCACTCTTGACTAGTTAAGATTTGGACTTCTTTTCATTTCACTTTCATAAGGAAATAGAGATAGATATAACATCAAATTACTATATCAAAGAAACTTAATTAGTTAAGTTTCCTACAGCTTTTTATATGTAATAGATATAAAGCGATGTCTTTTGCGAGTTTTGATTAGAATTTTTATAGAAAAGAGGTCGCATGAGCGAGAAAATTTTTTAATCTACATTACTTTGCTATTTGAAATTTGATTTCTATGACAAAATGTTGTAGAACTGTACTTTTCTACCGATATTAAAAATCAGAAATGAGAAAGTGTACAGTTGAATTTACCATTAATCGTGCTTTATTATATATAGTGTAGTATATTAATTTCTTGTGTATTCAAAGAGAGTTTAAAAGAACAAACAAAAAACTTATAGATATATATCAATGTACCAGGGACCTCGCGTGTTATATTAACGATATGCGATAATTACTTTCCGGCCGCCGCGCGATCACCGGCAAATGCGCCCGTATTGCGATTCGCGCCAGGGCCATCATTCAGACAGGAGACTTTGGCAATTATTATCGAGACAGGTTTATCTGGCAGGTGGGGACGGTTTTCATAGCGGCTCCCACATCCTCTCGCGACAGTCGAGAAATAATGTTAATTGAATAACGGATTTTTCGTTTCGCACACGCGCGGCAGTGGAAAATGTAATTTGCACAATTCTTGTTCCAGCATGTAACGACAGATGCATGCATGTGTCTGAACAAAATGCAACAAATGTTATACGAATTCTTATTTAAATAATAACTATATATATATATATATATATATATATATATATATATATGTATGTATATATATATATATATGTGTGTATATGTATATGTATATTTCTTTTTAACCGGATTTTATATTTACAATCATATAAAATAACATGGTTCAATTCTTTACAATTATTTTTTATACTTTTTTATAGCATGATGATCAGTGTAATTCTACAGTGACATTCATGGAAACAAACACGTGCGAATTAATTAATAAAAGCGAGATAGCATTGTTCTCAATATTACATTAAAACAAGATCCTTTATGAATAAAACAAATTGATTTCTTATTCAATAAAGAACGCCAAGATCGGTCAAATTTTGTTAAAATGAATACATTATATATTCTTTTATTAAATCAATTTATTCTAGATGCGAGCCGATACATTCGGTCTCAACACAATCATTCTGAAATGCTAATAATTCCCCCTAAATTAAATTAGAAAGAAAGAAAGTAAGAAATTTTTATTGCGAAATATATTATCTCAGCCAGGATTCGCATCTGGGACCTCTCAACTTTCCGAGAAGAGTGTCTTAGCCAATTCGGCTCGCAATTATATCTGGAATAAATTGATTTAATAAAAGAATATATAATGTATTAATTGTAACATCCAAAATTTAATCATGGCATTCTTTATCGTATTTAATGTATTCACATATACGGTCGTGCTCAAAATTCTTAAATTGATTTCTATTTTGCTTTTTCAAGTATTATTTACATGCATTTAATGCACTTAATTGAACAGAAATTTATTTGCACTTTGAAGTATATAATGTATGCATATCATGTCACACTTTGTGCGTTTATTGGTAATATGAACTAATAATATTTGAATTAAATTAAACTTTATTATTACGACCAAAGTAATCACTCAATTATTATATGTATTTATCGATTTAAAATTTAAAGATCAGCAAGAAAAACAATATAATCGATCATACAAAATTATATATGAAATTATATATTATAAAAGCATATAAACTTGTTCGAAGCGTATATTAGATTGGACTTCAGTAAACCGTTGTATTGAAACTGATTGCTGTATATTGAATATCAAAGGGATAATGGCAAATTATGCCATTGCAATAATATATTGCAATATTACAATTCTACAAAATATTAAAATTACAATATTTTATAATATTGTTGCAGTATTTCTAATAAAATATAATTCAATATTGCAGCAACATTGCCAATTTATCTTTTATATACATGCCAATAAATAGTAAATTTTACACTAAAATTTTTAACCCGAACAAGTACAAATAATCCATTCTTCAATATTCATAGAATTTTCTCAGCATTTTATTGACTGTTATTTACATGGAATTTTAAACAGAAATATTTGTTAAATCAACTAATTTAAATAATTTGTCTTTGCGTAATGTAATGTACTTCTTTTTTCAGATAACAAATGAAGCAGTTGCCAATATTTTAGCTTACGAAGCGGAAGCGAAGTCTTCATTGGAGGTACCACGTGAGCATTATCGGCCAATTACAGGTAAGGGAACGATATATATATATATACACATTTATATACATGATTACAAAATTATATTATAAGTTGTAACATATACAAAAAAGCAGGTAAATAATATTTTAAGTAATAAATAATATTAAAATAGCTTGTTTTATGCTAAGCAATGAAAGTAATAAAGAAAGGTCAAATTTAAAGGACAGGTAGAGAAGACTGGGGCAAGTTGTTATACAGGATAAAGTCTTAGATTTATAAGAGAAGCGTGATTGATGTTAAATGTTCTGAATAGTCATTGCAATCACGTAACTTAGCAGCCAATCATGAACTGATTTCTATGTATTAAAAATGGTTGCTTAATGGATAATTGGATTTTACAGTTCGTCTTGCAAACAACGCAATTTTTAATATTTTTTCTAGTACTTTTTAGGATAAAAATTCAGATTAGGGAAGCATGACCTCAATGACTTTGACTTTCATGATCTCCAATAGGTTTTAGAGAGTTCTCTAATCTAGAGTATTACTATTAATATCTCATTAACCATTGCGAAAATTGCAAAATGGTAGAGGTCTTTTTCGACTCAGATTAGTCCGCTCTATCTACAAAAAGTGTTTGGCAGAAGTCTCATCGGACACCCTATATAATCTAGAGACATGATAGCGTCTCGGCGCTAAGACAGGGCGCGAGTTGTTAAAAAGTTTAAAGATCGACGAGACCGTTAAAAAGATTAAAGATCTCGTTTTATTTTACGAGATTTTATTTTACAGTAATTTACAAAATGTATATATTAGAAGTGAGAATAACATTAATACAATATAAATATATATACATTAATCAAGATGATTATAATTGCAAGACCTTCGTCATGTTTGTATATACAATTCTCCGATATAAGTTTTAATTTAGAATATATCATTTTTGAAATATTTTATATGTTTACATAGAAAAATATTCACAGGAATCAACAATTAGAATTTAATTGCTAGTATTCTGTTCCAGACTGTATGTTTGTTACCTCAGAAAGCGGACCGTTCTCTTATATATCGCCAACCGATGACGACAATGTTTGTGGAATATATTTTTTAACTGATCCCGATCGCGTAGTAGAAATACATTTCCATAGCTTTGATGTTCCTTGCGATCATCAAGGACTTCTGGCAGTACGTAATCATTTATGTACAATATGTGTTATATTACATTCATATTGTTGATTAGGAAATTATAATATTGTGTGACGTAACATTACTGTTAGTTTACATTTAACGGAATATTATGTATATTAATATGAATATTTATACATAATATATAAACTGTTTCTATCGCATAGCGAAATTTCAGATTCGCTTATGCTCGTCAACGGTAACAATAGGTGAAATCCTGAAAATTAGGGATGCACCGGATCGTAAAATTACCGGATAACGGATATTGGATATCTGGACAGAATGAACATCCGGTCGGATATCCGAGAAGGCAATTTCTTCGAGTCCGATATCCGAGAAGGCAATTTCTTCGAGTTGGATATCCGACCGGATTCCGGGGAAATGATTCCTTCAAAAAAAAAAAAAACTTATACAGAGAAAAAATTTGAATTTTGCAATAATGTATATATAACATATTATAGCATACTAATGAATATGCATACTTATTTCTAAAATATTTATATATAATATAAAATCAATAGTTTAATGATATCAAATTTCAACCGTATATATTCCCGGATACTAATAATAATCGGCTATACAGTCGGATAGGAAAAAAGTGTCGAATAATACCGGATATCGGATATTTTCCGGATATCCAGTGCATCCCTATTGAAAATAATTTTAAAAAACGTCAATAATGTCATAAATAAATGTCACGAATTGTCATAGGGCACGTGCCAATTTTATCAGGATAGAAATTGAATTACACAAAATTTCTCCTCCCCTCTCAACTCTCATTTATTCCCTCTTTTGCTATTAATGGAAAACTCCTGTAGAGTAAATTAACACAGATAATCTTACGATAGCGATGTATATGTATGTGTGCTGCAAATATACAAAAGTCAATACTGCGAAAAGAGAGATTGCTTTACTTACAACATAAAAAGCGAATTTTACTCGTCGTGACTTTAGATATAATCATAACTCGAATTCTTACCTATGATAAACATATTTTTTATTATTTCCTTTTTCAGTAATTTTGCTATTTCTTATTGGTGTGCCATATGACATCTAATACTAATAGCATATCACTTAAAAATCATTTTTGTGTGCAATACATAAAATTCATAATAATAATATGTACTTATATACATAATCATATAAGATTTTTGTATGAACTAAAACTACTACGTATGCACTTTTTAAAATTCTACCTCGCGATATTAATAATTATAATTATAGCATAATATTCAACACTTTTACAATGTTTTGCGATTTTAATCTACATATATAAAAAAGTTTATATACTTTTATAAAATATTTAGATATATATATTTACACACATACACTCACATACAAACACACACACACACACACACACGTATATACATAACGGAGATAAAATAATTTAATAATTGTAGTTTTATTTCATTATATTATTTTATAATACACACATGCGTAGCACAATAAATAGTTAATTAATCGTTATTTGGAAGGTAATCGATGGTTGGGAATTGAACGGCGAAGTATTTCCGAGCGAAAGAGACCATTCATTATCGATGAAGGAGAGGACGAACGAGTTCTGTGGTAAGAATAAATGGTACAGGAAAACTTTTACGAGTTCGCAGAACGCTGCACTCCTTCAATATAGAGTACCTCTACGTGGGAAGGGCTTTGTTATATCCGCGAGATATCAAAAGAATCCAAGACGTAAGTATTATATTACTTGATTATGAATTTTCTAAAAGAAACTTAACTTTTTTAGAATTACATTTTTGTATAAATATTAGAGAAATATAAATCTCTATGAAAAGATATAATCTATAGTGCTAAATATTCTTGAAATATTCATAAAATGTTTCTAAAATCCCCCAAAAAAACGTTCCAAGAATTCCGAATATTTACGGTTTGTAAAAGAAACGTCAGTTAAACATTTTATTTATATATGGTTACATATTACGAGAATGTTTCATACACATTCCGCAAAATTTTAATTTTTCCAAAAATTCCAAATCAAGTTGTCTGTGAATCAGTTTTTAAACAAAAATTTTACTTCGGAAAACACATTTAATATTTTTTCACCTTGGAACTCAATTTTGAGGTTCACTTTACGGACGAAGTGCTGCGTTTCTTATATTCTCTTTTAGGTGATTCTTGTTTGAGTGAATATCTTTTGCCGCGGTTTTCTGTGGCGGAAATGTGTAGTACTGCTCGCTCGCTCGAAATTTTCATGAAATATACAAAGAGTATTCACTCAATATTCTGAAGATTTTATCGATATTTGCACATTCTATGACGATTCTTTTACTGTTCCGGAACATTCGGTATATTGGTAATACGAATCGAACTTTCTGTGAATATTTATAGTTAGCTAGGTAGTTTTATTACATTTTTAAAAGAATGTAGAAAAAAAGAAAGATCAAAATATCTTCATAAAATGATTAATACATATAGAATTAAATAATGATTTTATTGTTATATAAATATTCAATTTCGGCAATTTCAATTAGTTATCGATCTCCGATACGATAATAGGATCTTCGAGAGAGGAGAGCGATCGATTTTTAGTGGAACGCTATTATAAGTCTTGCACAGGAAAATATTGTACAGTTTAATGAATTATATTTTTTTTATGAACCGAATAATTAAGTTTACTTCAGCAAGGAAGATGACAAGAAAGAGAGCAGAACGATGTGGACCAGACATTCGTAAATTAAAACATATTAGGTCTGCAACGCTAAAGAGTAATTTTAAAAATCGGAATGTGTCGTACTTTCTTTTTGAACAAAGATAGAGAAGATAAACAAGAAAATATTGCATGATTTAATTATATTTTTTCATGAACAGAATAAAGTTTGTTTCCGCAAGCAGATATTTAAAAATTAATACATGATTGAGACAAGAGTATTATTATATGTTTGTCGGTTAAATAACAAATACAAAAACTGTTTCTAGCTGATTCTAAAGCGATCTAACAATATATGTAGTTAAGTTATGTTTTACACTCTTGTATTCTTTGCTTTTCAGCTTGCAATATCTTGTCAGTAAGCACAACGGATCCATTTACTCTTCGTAATTATGGTAGACGGATTAATTGTACCCTGGTGGCAGTGTACCCTGGTGTCGTACAAATAATTGCTCTCGGAATCGGCGGTAGCTCCCATGGCGTCGTTCATACAACCGAAACCGGCACTTTGCACAAAGTATGTTGTAAAATGTAAAGTCTTTTTCTTCAGACACGATTCATAGTTATTACCCTCATTCGTCTTCAACACATTCGTGTTTCATCTCCGACACAATCAAACAAAATTACGTTGCTGACATAATCCTTTTTCATTTATTTATATTATACCAAGTTTAAAAATTAAATTTAATGATAATTATCCTTTGATTGTGCTGAAGTCTATCTGAAATTAGCAATTCTTATCTGCTTTTTATTTAAAATGACTAATTTTTATTTAAAAAAATTGTGTTTACAAAAGAATTTTTTAAGTGGAAATATACTCATCGACCAAAAATCGGCCACTAAATTTTAGCATAAATTTTTAATATTTTCAAATAGTCATAATTCAATGAAAAATCATTGTCATGAACCACAGCTCAAATTAAAGCTTGAATTCCCCTTAATGAGCATGGAGATCAAATTTGAGTTACACAAAATATAAAATAACAGACGTTGAAGGCGGACATAAAAAAATAGTTAAACAAATTTTTTCTTTAAACTTTCTGTTGCGCTGTTCAGGGCTGCACACAAAAGTCTATAAGTCTTATTGATTTTCAAACAAATCCATATTTTAAATGATTTTTTTTTAAAGTTAACATTTTTCTAAAGTTATATCATTTTTAAAAAAGTATTACAGAACAGATAACTTTTTGTTGTAAAATCAGTTAGGAAACTTTATCAGAAAGGAAATTAAAGTGATAAAGTTTTTTACAATAATTTGTTTCTAAATTATACTGAGTTTACAAGAAAAAGTTATCCATTCTGTAATACTTTTTTTAAAACGGTATAACTTTGTCAGAAAAAGTCGTAGAAAAATGTTTAAAATATGGATTTGTTTGAAAATCAACGAGCTTAAAGACTCATTTACTTTTATGCCATGCAGCCGATCAGATCTGAACAGTGCAACGATTTAAAAAAAAAATTTTTTTAACTATTTTTCGACGTCCACTTTCGTGTCCGCCATTTTGTATACTCAAATTTGATCTCTATGATCATCAAGGGGAATGTTCAAGCTTTAAATTGAGCTATGGTTCATCTCAATACGATAATTTTTCATTGAATTATCGCTATATTATTTGAAAATATTAAAAATTTGTGCTAAAATTTAGTGGCCCGTTTTTTTTCCGGTGGATGTATTATATAATATATAAAAGAGACAAACTCTTTCCATGAAAATTAAAACTCGTTTATAAAAAGTATTTTACTCACTTTTTTACAGTAGTTATATTTTTCTCGATATAACATTATATTTATGCGATCAATTAATTTTCAGTGCGATGCAAGAAGTCCGCGAGATCAAGTGCAGATCGGAGGCAGCCACGGTTTCGATACAATAAAATTCGACGTAATTGATTCAATTTGCGGCATTGATTCCAAACCTGGTAATGAATCTTTCATACATAGAATCAGCGAGTGATGATTGAAAGTGCTGGAGTAAAACAATGTTATTTTCATACGTTCATATAATCCTTTTTGTATTTTGTATATTTAATATCATGCTTATACAATGAATACTACATGTATAATTGAAATTTTTATCTATAATTATAATTATAAAAGCTAATTTTGATATTTTAGATATAAAGGAGCTCGTAGCGTACGACGTAACAGTGGTACGACTATTATCGAGCGGTTATTACGACAACTCAGTGACGGTGGCAATAAGTCCAATAGTAGACAATAGTTTACTGGATTCCGCTTCCGGTCTTTAAACTGATTGCTTCGAACAATTTCATCATTATCCGCACTCGCCACGTGCAGCATCTATTGATCTCGATGTTTATCTTCGAAGATGCGGACATAACGCCAACATCGGATCGTGTAAAACATAGTATCTCTCTGATATAGTTTACAGATTATTCATGTATTTGTGTTATATGCTAAAAAACAGCATATAGTATATACAAGGTGTTCGGAAATTCAACCGACAACGATCGTTGGGTAAGTAGAGCGGACTAAACTGAGTTCTAAAATTCTTAAAGTTCTATGAGAAGAAAATAAACAATTTTTGTCTCTTGCAATTTTTCTGTAAAATTGATAGTATTTGAGAAAAAAAATTATTGAAGACCAATATTCGACAATTTTTAGTAATTAATTATATCTTGTTAACTATTGCGAAAATTGCAAATTAGTAGCGGACTTTTCGACTCAGTTTAATCCGCTATACCTATCCACGAGCGTCGATTGAATTTCCGAACATCCTATATACGAGTGAAATAAGATGAGTTCTATTAAAGACTGATTATTCTAATTCATTATTCTAATTTTTCTTTTCTCGTATTCTTTGTCAATACAATTATATTGTTCTATTTCACAATATTAATTTTTATATTATCAAGTATTAATTTTTAAATAAATTAATTTTATTATTAAATGTGTTGTCGTGTATGATTCAAACATTAAATTTTTATTAATGGATTAAGATGCAAATTATATATATATATATATATATATATATATTCAACATTTTATTTAATTTATATTAAATCATGAAATGTTTTAAAAAATGGAGCATTTTACTTATTTTAACATAATTTCTAATTAATATTAATATTAAAATTAATATTAGTATGACAGTTAATGTAATGGGTTTTATGACTAAAATGAATTATGTTTTAAGTGAAACAAATGTAAAACAATAAATATTATGAATATTTGTGTTATTTAAGTTAGTAAACAGTTGAAATAGTAGATTCCTTAGACATTCTCAACCATTCAACATTCTCGCCATTTCTTATTAAGAACGATATTATTATGTATGTACGACAGTAGCTGTAGAAAAATAAATTTGTGTTAACTGCATTAATTTGATAACTAAAAATATTTGACGTATGTAAAAAATTAAACATGAAATGTAAAAACAATTAATTAATTTAAAAAATTAATCCAATATCAAATTATAGTTTAAAATAAATTGGAAATAATAAGTTTAAAATATTTTTTATCAACAATCATGTATGTATATACAACAGAAATAAATAAATAGGATATATGATTTGATCTAAGCCATGGTGGAAGGGATTAACATGGTATACTCCGGTGGCGTAAAGGATTGATAAGTACATGATGTACTTATTTGGGCACAAACCACGCCCTTTTTATGAACCAACTATAATAAAAGTTTTTTTTCTTTATAAATAAATAATTTTTATTATAAATAAATAATTAAAAATTTTTTTTATTAAGTCCTAAAGTACTCTTGAAGCCATTCAGTTTTCATTCTGAAAATTTTTTTCTATCTCTTACAGTTCCGGTGATATTCGCTTCGAAAGAGAAAAACCGACTTTTCTGAAAGGTGTTTTACCGTCTAAAAGTGCGTATAGGCATAAAAAAATACGTGCCGTTTATTTTTATTTGGAGAATAATATACTAAAAGTTTATTAAAATCGGAGGAGGACAGTTGGGTCCTTTTTTTTGTCAGTTTAGTCCGTTCTACCCCTATGCTAAAGATTTATCGTTATTTTTCAATACACCCTGTATAAAGAACGAAAAGACATTAAATGTAAAAAGACATGTTCATTTTTGTTGCTCAAATATATTTTAATAATAAAAATGAATATTCGTTTGCATTTTGTAATTATTATTAATGGTTTTTTATTCATTCCTTATAAATATATTTGATTTATACCTCAATAATCGTCATTATCGATCCTTAGACTATCACTTAAATTATATTATCCCGCGATATGGGGTAATATGTGACCTTTGAAGGAAGTTAGAAAATTTATTTTATACGTAAACAAAAAAATTTCGATTACAAATATTTTTCTATTAATAATAGAAGCTTTAAAATAATTATTCGTACATGAATGAAATATAAATAATAAAAATTTAAAAAATGGCACATTGTTGTATTATAACTTTGCATTTGTTTGTCACAATTACTCCGATTGATCCTAATCTAAGCACTTATTGGATTATAGACATAATACTAAGCGCTTATTGGACTAAGTCACAAATGGTGATCGAAATAGTAGAGACTGCAGAGAGAAGCCTGAGAGCGGCCATGCCTAGCCATAAGCCGAAGAACACAACCAAAAAATCGTGGATATTACCGACTGGATCATGAACATTGGCTACATAGTTCAATGTCCACATTTTATGGACATAGAGGCTCTTCATAATAAAGTAACAGCAAATTCTAGACATGGCCGCTCTCAGGCTTCTGTCTGCTAATAGGAAAGCTGCCGACATTTCCACTTCGATTTAGATCAAATGAATGATATATAGAGCTACTTTGATATATACGGCTTTATGTCCAACTGCATATACCATAGATCTGTTTGCTTGAAATCTCCAAAAATTTTTGTAAAATGAGATAAATATATTTGCGCGTCAAAGAGAAAGAAAGCGAAGATGCTTAATGCAAAAAGTGCAAGCAACGCGAACAGACCTTATGTTATCCCTTCCATTGAATAAGATGTGAACATGGCGAAACACAGCTGAATACGACAGAATATGGCGATGTATAGCACAAGTTGTTTTTGATTTCGTTATTTACAAGTAATTCAAGTTCATCCGAGCAAAGTTTTAGCTTATCGTGCTAAATAACTGAAGAACGTGACATCGTAGAAACATGAATTACAATCACTCGAATGCACGTCGAGGTAAGCATAACCTACGAATGATAGATGTAAACTTATTCTATTTCTTCTGCATATTTATATTTTTATTTATATTTGTATATCCGATATTTATAATATCCATGATAGTCATCATATTTATTTGCTTATGTTACTTATAAAAAAATAATATGCAGAATAGATTGATTGCATCATTCTTAGGAGTAATATCAGTCATGACAGCTATTTCTAAGTATTGCATGATATGTTACAGCAGAAATATGTTGTGTTTTTTACATTTGAAAAGAAATAAGCTTACCTATAATTAAAAATTAGAGAGAGAGAGAGAGAGAGGAGGAGAAGGAGGGAAAAAGAGAAAAATACTAAAAATTTAGCTGCAAAGAACAAAAGAATATTTATTATAGTATATGTTTTAGAGAGAGAAAGAGAGAGAGCAAGAGCGAGTATATGAATTATTAATTTTAATATTAATTTAATATTATTTTAATATTATTTCTCCAGTCCAATCTAATATAATAATAAGAACATCAATTTTACTATATCACATAGCATACAATTAAGCAAATTTTTATATTATTTATATTATTTTTATTTATATTATTTTTATTTTATATAAAGATAAATTATTTATCGGCAGGAAAACCGAAGAGATTATTAGATCCATCAGCTGGTTTATCTGCACCAGCTCCTTCAATGGCACAGAATCCATATATATATAATGAACAGGTAAATTTTATAAATTAGTATATTTTATAAATTAGATTATGATTGTTATTTATGACATTTATAAGACAGACTAACTTTGAACAGAATTGCTTCTCTGCTATTCCAAGTTTACACATATTAATAAAATTTGTTGCTTATATTTTTGTATCTTATAGAATTGATATTATATCATATTTTTGAGCAATCTATTATTTTAGGTACCCATGAATAATGGTACGATGCCAGAATATAGCTTTGGTGTTCCTGGACAAGGACCACCTCCATATGGATTCAATCCACAAATGTCAAATTATCCATCCAGCGATAATCAAGGAGGAGAGTTTGCGAGCCCGCAATTTGCAACACAATTTTTAGCCCAACCAGTTGTTACGGACATGGCAGTACAATATGGAAATGCATTAGTTGGTACTGGAAAACAGCATCTTGAAAAATATGTGCCAGTTTCAGCAATGAAATATTACTTTGCTGTAAATACCGATTATGTTTTTGCAAAATTAATGCTGCTGTTCTTCCCATTTACTCACAAGGTAAGTTTCACAGAAGACATTAGAGAGATAGATTGATGAATATATATTGTACTAGATTAAATAATTTCATTACAGATATTTTTGTTGTATGTAGAAAAAAATATTTATAAAAAATCAAAAGAGTATTTCTCGATCAATCACTGATTTATTATAACTGTGATAATTCAATAATTCCTTTTTATAGGACTGGTCTGTAAAATACGAACAAGATGTACCATTGCAACCACGATATGAGACTAACGCGCCAGATATGTACATTCCTACAATGGCGTTTTTCACATACGTTGCTCTGGCGGGATTAGTGTTAGGCATGCAGGAACGTTTTACTCACGAACAACTAGGTATTCTAGCTAGCTCCGCTCTTGCTTGGGGTTTAATCGAATTACTTGTTCATACTGTGAGTTTGTATGTGATGAATCTCCAAACGAGTCTAGCAACGCTAGATTTATTGGCATATTGCGGTTATAAATATGTCGGTATTAATGCGGCACTATTGATATCGTTGCTATTTCGAAAATTTGGCTATTACATAATGCTGTTGTACTTCAGTGCTTCTCTAGCTGTCTTTCTGATGCGATCGTTAAAATTACGAGTCATTCCACAAGGTCATAGTTCGTACACAGCTTCTGGTAATAAAAGGCGACTTTACTTCATATTATCTTTGGCTGGTATGCAACCTGTTTTAATGTGGTGGTTATCATATCATCTAATTTAAATAGTAAATATAAAACGTTTATAAAAACAAGAAGAAGGAAATGTGAATATTTATTATTTGGCTACTAATATCTGTACATTTTTTTGTAATAAAATCCCATCACAATTCGTCTATTATATTTGATGGATCTTTACTACTCGACTTTTTTTTCTTCTGTAATAGATGTTAACAGATCTTAGTTCCCTCGAAATAAATTTTTCCAAATTTTCCACAGATATCGAGTGACTTCGAAAATTAGTAAGATGTACTTTGCTATAATCCCGATCGTTTTGAACGTTTTAATTATGGGCATCGAGCGTTCGGGGAGATACTGGCTGTGTTTCAAAATTCTGCTAGTTCTGAAAATATTGTATACATAACGTAAATTGTAGATTTTCAGCGCTGGCAGTGAATTTTGATATACAGCCACTATAATTTATACCATTCTATCTTCATTGGATGCTTTCTATTTGATGACA